GCTGATATGTAGAACTGAATGGTATTGTAAAATTATATATATATATATATATATATATATATATATATATATGTATATATATATAAAGAATCTTAAAAAAAAGGGTTTACTATCTGACTCACTATGTCACACTACAGCTTCCATGATGAGATTGATTTTTCTTTTTTTTTTACCCCTCCTACATTTTATTTTTAGAGGTTGCAAGGACAGAGGGCAGATACGAAGTGATAGTGAGATGAATGGGATGGAGATGCGTGATGTGAACGACACAAAGAGTAAATTAAAAGGAAGTTTAAAAAAGATTGCTGCTGAGGACATCAGTTCTTACTTAAGTCTTGCGGGCTGCAAGAATATATTATAGATTCATCTGTGTATTAAAGCTATGCTTTGACCGACCAGGGGTCCGTCAAGTGGGAAGCCATTTATCAGGGAATGTTTAGTGTTATACAGCCTTAATATTCAGCTACACCTTGCTATGAATTTCTTGTGGGCCCATATATTAGTAGACCATTTGGCAAACTGTTCAGCTTCTCACACCTGCTGAACCTCTAGGTAGCCCCCCCCTCCACGCTAAGTCTAGGAGACCAGCAGGCTGTAGATACATGGCTTTACTTCTTGTGCAAATGAGGCCCAGACCATACCCTTCCTTCAGACCCAGGGGCATGGCAGAGAGATGGACTGAGGACAGTAGGGCTTTTTGCATAACCAGGTGCAGTAAGGACTGGAGGGGATTCCAGAGGAGACAGAACCCAGTGGCCAGAGAGAGGAGAGGAAGACAGAGGTTCTGCGGAGGGTAAAGCAGATCTCTGGTAGAGTTTATCAGGGCCAGGGGTAGGAGCCAGGAAGGATAGATGGAGGAAGAAGGAACAGAGGAGGGAGATGAGGGCTTAGTTATTACCAGGGCTATGAGAGGACAGAAAGAGTAGGTACAAAGAGGAACTGAGACTCAGGATGGAACTGAAGCTGTATAGACAGAGTTTTGTCATAAAGGAATAAAGTAAACGGACAAAAGAGCATAGTGTACATAGATTCCTTCCCCTCAGGTACCTCTCACCATACATAGCATCTTCCCCAGGGCTTGGGGAGGAATTTTCTCAGGGCAGGCCTTGAGAAAATTGCATTATATTTACTTAAGGACTCCTTCAGGTAAGCTCTACCTCCATGACCCTCTCTGTCTCACTAAGGAAGCCATGAGTTCTTTCCTCATCATCCCATCTATCATCCTACATTCTCCTATATGAGTGGAAAAACCTCCCATTCCCACCACCCTCCTCCTTATGCTTCCCTTAGTTACCTTGGAGATCCACAAAATGAGGGAGGTGCACAGCAGCCACAGCTCCCTGCTCAGTCTTGATGTCAAACAGAGGCCCAGCCACCATGTGACTGTGCTGCAAGGGAGTCTTGCCCAGGAATTGGCTCCAGGCACAGAATCCAATCTCTACAGTCACGGCCCTTGTCACCACAAAGCGAAGACCAGTGCTGGGCCAGTGATAGGAGCCAGCCATGGGGAACTGAACTCTAGAAGATGCAGAAACAGTCATGCATTGGACAAGATCTGCTCACAGGCTGGATACAGATCTGGTGCAGGGCCATAGACACACCGACTTCAGCCAAATCTCTGAGTCCTGGCTCCTTTGCTCTCTGCATATGGACCCTAAACAAAGTAGTTAGCGTTCTGACTCCTGGTTTCCTTATCTGTAAATAGGGGCAATGGCAATATCATCTTATAGACCTGTGAGTTCTGAGCGAGCTAGAGCAAACCTACAGGGAACACACACCTAGAGCAACTAGCTATTCTTGTGATGATGATGAGGGCGATGAAATAGGTAAGTCTCTCTCTCTCTCTCTCTCTCTCTCTCTCTCTCTCTCTCTCTCTCTCTCTCTCTGTGTGTGTGTATTAAGTTCTAGGGGTCAAACTCAAGACCCTTTATATGCTAGGCAAGGGCTCTACCAATTGGCCACATCTTCAGCTCTTAGTGTTCTTATTTTTAAAGAGTATAAAAGAGTATATTTCTTTCTTTCTTTCTTTCTTTTTTTTTTTTTTTTTTTTTTTTTTTTTTTTTTTTTTTTTTTTTTTTTAGAAACAGGGTTTCTCTGTAGCTTTGGAACCTGTCCTGGACAGGCTCTGTAGACCAGGCTGGCCTCGAACTCACAGAGATCCACCTACCTCTGCCTCCCGACTGCTGGGATTACAGGCGTGCGCCACCACTGCCCGACTAAAGAGTCTATTTCTTTATAAGGGTCTAAGGCTGGTGAGGTGGCCTGGCAGGTAAAGGCACTTTCTGACAAACCTGAGAATTCATGTGTGTGTTCACAGATAAACTTTAAAATGAGCATATGTTATATTAGTAATAAATATGTGGCCTTGAAACAATGCTTTACTGAGCATTAGTGACTTTCTCAAAGGCTTCCCATTTGGTGACTGGTCAGTGGACAAGAGGCAGTTTCCATGGGAGGAGTCAAGAGTGACAGTTTCTCCAGCTGAGACAGTGACCATCACCATGTTGGAGGGAACGTACTATGGGAGACTGGTTTGGATGTCAGCCTTTGGAATCCTTTGTGGGTCGTGGAATGGAGAATAGCTCACTCACCGGTACAGGTTTCTTTCCCTGTCAACCACCTCAGTGTCCACGGGTCCTGTGCTGCCCCAGAAGCCATCTTCAGACCCAAGAGACTCTGTGAGCTTGTCTCCCAGAGGGGAAGAGTCGGGTGAGTGGGGGAGTTTCAGCTGTGCTGTGTGTGGAGCTCCTTCCTCTGGAAGAGGCAGGACAATGGTCACTCCCCAGCCTCTCTCTCTCCAGCTAGACTGGGGCTAGGCTCTTCCTGAGACCTGGCTACAGCAGGGAGTGAGTCTGTTCTCTTTGTCCCTGCTCCGGAGGCTTCTCTGTTTCTTTCATTTTTTCTCTCTTTCCTCTTTATCCCTCTTTTCTTCTTTCATTATCTCCCCTTTTTCTTGTTTTCACTGCTCACCTTCTGAGCACCTCCAAACCTTGGCATCTGCTTCTGACTAATGTCCTGCCTTCTTCTTCCCTATTGGCCCAGAAGTGTTCCTTTTCCCAGCATTTCTCCAGAGACAGGTTGAAGATAGAACCTGTCTCTGGGAAGTGCTGGGGAGGTGGTTTCCAGGCCTTAACATGTGACAACGGGATAAGGGTCCCTGGTATAGAGTCTGATGCCTGCCATAGACATGTGAGAGGGATAGCATTGAATCCCGATGCTGTGACAGAAGAAAGCAAAATATCATTCCTCTGGATTCTAAATGTGAAAGATTGTGCAAGTTCCTCTTTCCAGGAGTGAACCTGCTTTTCCCCATATCAGAGATGGGGGAGAGAAACGATGGTCCCAACATGATGCTTCAAGTCTGGCCCCTTCACATACCTGACTGTAGTCTCTGCCGCTTGCATGAGGATGGGCCAGCACTCATTTCTCCTTTATCCAGACCCAGAGTAGAGACAGTCTCACGTGGTTTCCTATATGCAGAGATGTTCTTCCCCTCAGAGGTCAGGGGAAACTAGGGTTGTCTATAAGACATCCCCACCTACAATCTAATTCATCTTAATTTGAACTAAGGCCCATGATTCTCCTCTAGGCCACATCTCTATGATCCCCTTTCCCCAGATCTAGGTCACATCTAGGTGCCTGTGTCATAACTGATATCATCTTGATCCCTTCCTTTTTTAAAAATTTATTTATATTTTTGTATGTATGAGTGCTCTGCATGTATGCCTGCATGCCAGAAGAGGGCACCAGATCCTATTATAATTGGTTGTGAGGCACCATGTGGTTGCTGGGAACTGAACCTGAGTCTTCTGTAAGAGCAGCAAGTGCTCTAACCAGTGGGCAGTCTCTCCAGCCTCAAACATCTCTCTGTGTCTTTGTCTCCCATCCATGGTGACTTCATTGCTCCAGTGTGCTGTGCCCAGAGGACTCTCTACTCATTTCCTTTTTTTTTTTTTTTTTTGAATGCCAAATGCCGTTTATTAGGTCTTAAATACAGGCTTACAGCACAATGGGAGAACCCCGGAGGGCAGAAGTTCACTACTGATGTTTTATAATCTTGCAGCTTACAGACAAGGAACTTCTCTTAAGCATTCAGGAGGGTGGAACCAGGCAGGGAATTAGCACAGGGAGGACATCAAGCAAGGCAACAACTACCCAAAACAGGGGCCATCCTTTTTTTTTTTTAATCTCCTCCAATTCACATGGAGGGATTTAAGAGGCAGGTTATGTGAATCTATTTTCACTAATGAACAAAACCAACACAAATGAAGTCAAAATAACCCACTTCATGCTAGTTGCTATGGTTTCCTGGTTTCTTCCTGTTCTGATTTATCTCTCCTGCCACCCCAGGACCATTTTCTCACCTCTGAGCTCTGGACCAGCCATAGGATCTCAGTTTGGACCACTCCTTACCATGTGCTCTGGATGAGAAGCTCGGGATTCTTTTCCTTCAGAGCCCTCAGCTCCATCATCACCTGCTCACTCAGAGAGGCCTGGTCTAGCCTGCAAGCACAAGGGAAGCCATATTGTCCTGGTCTATACCAAGGAGTGTGGAAGACTCTCACAGTTAGGTTCCTCAGAATTAGCCTCTGAGATGAAGCCAGTGAGGGAGCTTATTGGGGTGTGTTCTTTGGCCGACACCAGGACAGAAAAGAGAGGGCAGTAGCCATGGAGAGGAGCAGATGTGGCCATGAAGTGGTGCCGGTGAGGTCTTGGCCAGATCACAGGCAGATCGGAACTGGGATGATGGCCTTTGGGACTATTGCCTTTTTATACTCCTACATGGTGCAGATGCTGGATCTGAACCATCCTAGGAATGGGGCATGACTGGGTGTGGAGGTTCGTGTTGGGAGAGAGCATCCCTACAGCCCTCAGCATCACTGTGGTTGGGGGTCATGGCTTTGTCACGGAAGTGACTCTGGAGAGCTGTTTAAAGAGAATGTAGAAGGTCTGGGTTCTAGGATTCTGTGAGAACTCGGCTAGAAGGACAGAATCTTTGTCCCGTTTCTGTCTTCCCCATTTCAGTGCTGGCGATGGAAGCTGTGTTCTCACTCATGAGCTTTCTCTACTGAGCCACAAGCCAGGCCCTGGATTCCACTCTTACAGGCTTCACGTCCTGGAGTTTCTGTAGGTTTAGGAGAATTACCACCTTCCTTGGGCCTCCATGTCCACAACCAGGGACACCATCACTCCCTCTCAGCCTGCTATGAAGCGAGAACAAGGCAGGAGAGGAAAGAGTCCTGCACTTTCCAGAGGCTGTCAATGTCACTGCTCCTGCCCTATGGGCTGTTCTCCTTGAGGAGGGAGATGGAGCCCGTGAAGTTGAAGCTTGTTCCTATCTCCAGGAGGGAAGGAGGCAGCTAAGATTTGACAAGTAACTGAGATGTATCCTAAAAGCAGAGCTGTGGCAGAGGCCAGCATTGGAAAGGCTCATCAGCGGGTGGAGAGAGTCATGGGTGAAAGCTGGATGGGCCGGTTTCCACCATCCGTGAGGTCAAAAGCAGACTCCTCCTGGCCATGTCCTGCTCTGACTGTTCCTTTAGATTTCAGAGCAGAAGTGGTGGTCCTGGTGGGAAAGTCAGAGGGCAGAGGCTTCTTGGACTCTCTCTGCCAAATGGAAGAACCAGAGGGCTCTGGACACAGAGGTCTAGAGTCTTCTATGGTTCTCTGAGCACATAGCAGGAGGGCTCTGGCCAGGAACTGCAGGGAGTGTTCCTCTAGGCTCATGCTGGGGAGGTAGAAGAGAGAGGAAGCTGGATGCATGGAAGTAGAGAAGGGCATACAGGAGGGAGGCTTTCCTAGTTTGCATGTAAATCTAGGGCTTGGAGATGACTCCAGTTCAGCCACACAGGGTCGACTGAAGCTCTTCTAAGTCTCTATGTCTGCCCTTTGGCCTCCTTTTGTTTCAGGGTCTTCCCCCACTCTGCTTTTGTCGGGACTGCTGTCCCCAGATTGGCCTCAGAGAAGTCTCCATGGACCCTTCAATACAGTCTCCCCTCCCACAGCATTACACACTCACAATACTATTGACTCCGTAGCATCCAGCAGAGCTTGTCAATAGAGTCAGGGGCTGATGGGTGACCTGTGCCTGTCTCTTCCCACCCAGCTGCAGGAGGGTGGAGGGAGCCATGTGTGTTTGTGATTCTATACCCAGGGCCTGGACCAGTGCTTGGTGCACAGGGGCCTAATATGAAGGAATGAATGAGTGAATGAGTAAAGAGCTACCACGGAGTGAAATGAAGCCGTCTGAACATGCAGCCTCATTTTAAACCTTTCTTTTAATTTATTCTTTGTGTCTTTCATATCATGCATCTCAATCCCATTCATTTCCCTGTCCCTTTGTATCTGCCCTCTGCCCTTGCAACCTCCCCTGACAAAATAAAATAAAATAAAAAGTTTAGGAGGAAAAAAAAGCAAAAATCAGTCTCATCATGGGAGCTGCAGTGTGATAGCTACTTGCAAGTGTTCATTGCAAAGAGTCATTGGTCTGGTTCAAGGCCTCTGGTTTCTGCTACATTATCAATGCTGGGTCCTCACCGGGATTCCTCTTGTTATCCTGTTGTTGCCCTGTGTCGTGGAAATCCTGCAGCTTTAGGTCTGCAGGACTGATCCCTTCACATGCTCTCACAGATCATAGATGGGGTGCATGTTGGGGTGGGCCAACTCATAACCCTGATTCTGGGCCTGGGTAGCTGCAGGGTTGGTCAGCCTGCCGGCTCTCCCCAGTCCTCACCACCAGAGTGAGCTCCCCAGCGTTGCCCTGACTAGTGAGCAAGGGCTGGGGCCAGTTCTTCTGCTTACATGCCCTCAGGGTCAGCTCTCCCACACCTACATCATCGGGGGCAGCTCAACTGTGTTGCCCAGGCAAGGTGCAGGCCTGCTGTCTGAGTGCTGCAGCTGGTAAGGGGAGGGTCAGCTTCCCTGTTTGTTGCAGGTGGTGAAGGGCAAGGGGTAACAGGACAAGGGGTGGGGCACATCTCTGTCCTGCCCATGCCACCAACATGAAGCCTCATTAATAAATATGATTCCACAGTGGCCACCTGCCCACCTGGTATTATATTTGTTTTTATATATGAATGTTATATGTCATTACAATCCAAAACGTGGGTATGACATTCCCGTTTAATAGATGAGGGCATCGAGTTCAGAGAAGACAGGGACTTGCCTAAGTCGCAGGTGTAAGTGGCACAGCTGGTCAGGAGCCAGGCTGATTATGCATTATCTGTCCTCTTTCTTTTGCACATCGGATCCTCTGGTATTCCCACCTACTGCCTTCCCAGGCCTCCCTGTAGAAGGGACTCCCAGAGTTTTTCTTACCGCAGGATTCTGAGCTTGCAGGCAGGATTCCTGAGCCCCTTACACAGCAGCCTCACACCACGGTCGCCCAGGTCATTCAGCTGCAGGTCTAGCTCAGTCAAGCTGCCGCTGGTGTAGACCACAGAGGCCAGGTCCCGGCAGCAGCTGTATGTGATGCCACAGCTGACCAGCCTGCATGAGAAATACACCCTGTCATTTCCTGAGAGTTCACTCCTCTGGATAGTGGGGATTGGGTCTCCCTTTCTGGTACTTGCCAGGTCCTCATTAAAGGGAATTCGGGGTTTCACTGGATTGTAGTAACTTTCAAGGTTTTAATTTTCCTCTTGCACCTAAGTTGCCCCTGAGGATGCAAGCCACCTCTACTTCTCACTCCTGCTAGGATTCACACCAGTTCTCCTTTCTACCACATCAACTTTATATATACAACTTACCCAATGTCCAATTTGTATACCCAAGATTAACTGTTAGCTACATTGGCCCAGCCAAATAACCAGAGACAATGGATATAAGGTGTCTAGGTAGTTCCAATATTATGGTCATTGATAGACCAGACAATAAACCAGTGAACTTCTAGTACAAGAACAGCCAAATAACCAGAGACAATGGATATAAGGTGTCTAGGTAGTTCCAATATTATTGTCATTGATAGACCAGACAATAAACCAGTGAACTTCTAGTATAAGAACAGAGGTGAAACGGAACATGGCAGGTTTGTTTGGACCCGAGAGCCTGTCTTAGGTTTCTTAGTATATATTGGGATCTAGAGTAGGTGTTACTCAGGCCACGGCCATGTCTGCAGCTAACATCTGTGATGCATCTTTGCCTATCCATGTCTCATCAGGGCGGAAAATTCAATATGTCCCATAACTGAGCTGCAGGACCAATGGCCTATAGTTAGAGGTTTACTGCTCTACTGCTGCTGGGTCAGGGAGGGACAAGCTCCTCGAAATCCACAGCATCCTGCTAGTGTGTCTCAAGAACTATGCAAAAGTGAAATATTCTATGAAGACATAGAATAGGGCATGACTCACTCGTCATGTGAAATCTTTTTTTTTTTCTTCGAGACAAGGTTTCTCTGTGTAGCTTTGCGCTTTTCCTGGAACTCACTCTGTAGCCCATGTTGGCCTTGAACTCACAGAGATCTGCCTGGCTCTGCCTCCTGAGTGCTGGGATTAAAGGTGTGCTCCACCACTGCCCGGCTGTGAAATCTTAGTAAAGACGGAGTCCGTACAAACAGAGTAGAAGGCTGGTTACAAGGGCAGAGAGCAGGAGGGACTGGGAGACGCCATTCCCTGGGCCTGGAGCTTTCTCCCCTCCTGCTTCATTTAGCCTCTTACTCCGTGTTCTTGAGCTCTGCTGTAGCCACTTCCTCAGGAGGTTTGCTCTGCTGCAGACCTCATGGGCCTGTTGTTAGCAATAGCTAGTGAATGTCAGTCTTTCATGATCCCCAAGAACAGGACCCCATTGGCTTATCATAACGAGTCTGGTGTCAGTCATGGGTGTGGTCGAAAGGGTTCAGTGAATATTTGATGAATACCTAGCCTCACCCTAGTCTCAGCTTTTGCCTTTGCTCTCCTGCCATCCATCCCTGCTTCAGAGGAGAACCCAGGCCAGACTCACCACAGTGTCTTTAGTTGGCAGCCACGGTGTCTCAGGGTCCTACAAAGACTCTGTACTTCGGAGTTACTCAGTGGATTTCCACTTAGGTCCAGCTCCTCCAGGCTTTCTGTGAACTCAAGAGTGGAGAAGAATACCTGCCAACTGGCATTAGTGATTGGGGTCCACCTGGACCTGAGAGAAGGAAAGAGAAAGGAGAGCTGTGAATTGCATACGCCGTCTGAAGTGGTCAGCCCCACACTGCAGAGTGGAATTCTCTCCTCCTGACTCGGAGGCCTCTGTGGAGGTTTGAATAAGAACATCTCCCAAAGACTCATAGATTTGATCCTTGGTCACCGGGGAATGGTTCTGTTAGGACATTTGGCTTTGTTGGACTAGGTGTGGCCTTGCTGGAGGAAGTGGGTCACTGTGGGTGGGCTTTGGGGTTTTAAATGCTCAAGCCAGGCTCAGTGTCTCTCTTTTCCTTCTGTTCTCAGATCAGAATGTGGAACTCACAGCTGTCTTTCCAGCACCATGTCTGTCTGCGTGTTACCATGATTTCTGCCGTGATGACAATGGACTAAACCTCTGAGTGTAAGCAAGCCCCCATTAAATGTGCTTTCTTTGATAAGAGTTGCTGTGGTCATGGCATCTCTTCACAGCAATAGAACACTGACTAGACAGTTTTAATATGCCATCCCCAGGGCAGATGAGCCTCTACACCTATTCTTCTTCTGCAACATCTTGGTCCTTTATCTGTGCAGTTCCTCATCTATGGTCTTGCACAGCATGCTGTGTGCTCATTTTGTGTTCTGTTTCCATTTCAGTCTAGGTGTTCCTCGAGGCCAGGGACAGATAGGTGGCATCTTTCCTTTATAATATCAGTGCCTAGTATAGGACCCGGCACAGAGGAGGACATTGGTAGTTTGGACAGTTTTATTTCCTTTGATATGTACACACCTGTCTCCTTTTGGTATAGAATTCTAGAGTCATAGTGGCCATAAAGGTAAACTGGAGATGGGGAGTGGAGCGTTCAGGAGAGGTGGTTGAGGGATACTCTATGATGGGATGTTGAATATGATCATAAACACTATGACCATGTTGGTTTACACGGACCTCATTCCCTTCCAAGAATAGAAGACCACAGATACGTTCCATGGAGAGAACAAATGGAATATATTGGGAGAGAATGTCTGCAGGCTGAGGGGGAGAGAATTCTGGAATTGCTGAAATGGACTTTGCCCTGTATAACTCCTGCCTAATTACTTTCTCCATTTTTACACACCCCTTTATCAACCGTACTGGCTGCCAGGTTTCAGCTACTCAAGGTTTATCCCAAACTTCAGACAGCTATTTCTGTTCTCTAGTTCAATACCTCAGTTAACTCTTTGACCTAGTGTGTCTCAATTTGTTTCCAATCTTAATCCACTCCACCACCTCCACAGTGTATTGAGCCATGCAGCGGTGACTTGCCAGCTGCCTGAACACCAAAGCTGTGCCTCACTCAGTGTTCTTAGATGCAAAAGCCTGGACCACAGGGGTTCCCGCTACTCAGAAGACTCATGAGGATGACAAGATACTTGCTTACTCTTTGTTCTGCAGCAGCCTGCCTGCTGGAGCCCCTCCTCCCAGCCACATGCATTCCCTGGGGACTCCACTTCTTGGTGCTCATCCTGGATCCCCTTAGCTCTTTCTCACAGACCTTCCAAGCCTTCTCTTCTAGCTTAGCCCCACTTCTTTGTGTCAGTACTGACCCACAGAAACACTCTCACCAGGGATTCCAGTGGCCACTCTGGGCTGGGACATAGGTAGACAGTTTTTATTATTCTCCCTGTCCTCCTTACCAGTCTTTCCAGGCTTACTCTTAGTCCTGTGGAAGCATGTCTGCAGGGGCCCCTCCTCCCACCCCACCTCTATTCCCTGGGGACTCCACATCTTGGTGCAGACTAAGGGTTGCCCTAGCTCTTTCCCAATGCCTCTCTCAGTCTTTGCTCCTAGTTGATCTCCATTCCTTTGTATCATCCACTGAATGGCAGAAACTCTCTACCAGGGAACCCGAAGTGACCATACTGGCCTAGGATTGTGAGTAGGCAACAGCAATCAAAGAATGTAACATACCTCCAACAAAGACAAGACCAGATATCTATACCTAGAAACACCTCAAATATAACTTCAGATGTATAGAATCCAGCAAAAAACCCACAAGTATGAACAGTCAAGAGAATATGCCTCCTTCATAAGCCAGCAACCCTTTTGAAATAGGTCCTGAGAAATATAATTTAGTTGAAGTACAAGACAAGGCCTTCAAAATAGCAATTATGAATATGTTCAAAGACCTTAATGAAAATTTGAATAAATGCCTTAATGAAGACTGTGAAAGCACAGACAGTTGAGGGAAACAATAAGGAAATGAGGCATGAAAATAGAACTTAGGAAAGTAATAGAATCACTAAAGAAAACCCAAACTGAAATAAAAATGGAAATGAAAAAAACTCAGGATATCAAACAAAAACCTCAGAGGAAAGCCTCTCCAACAGATTACAGGACATGGAAGAGAGAATTTCAGGCCTTGAAGACAAGGTAGAAGAAATGGATAGGTCAGTCAAAGAAAATGTTAAATCTAAAAACTACAGGCACAAAACTTACAGGAAATCTAGCTCATGATGAAAGGACCAAACCTATGACTAATAGGTATAGAGGAAGGAGAAGAAACCCAGATCAGAGGCAAAGGGATTTTTTAAAAAACAAAGTCAAATAAGAAAAATTCCCCCATCTAGAGAGGGAGGTGCCTATCAAGGTGCAAAAAGCAATATGGAACATTAATAGATAAGACCAGAAATTCCTACAACACACATTGATCAAAACACTAAATATACGGAATGAAGAAAGACTATTAAAAGTTGCAAGGGAAAAAGACCAAGTCACATAAGAAGGCAGACTCATCAGAATAACACCTGACTTCTAACTGGAGACTTTGGAAGTCAGAAGGTGCTGGATGGATGTTCTACAAACTCTAAGAGACACAGATGCCAACCCAGACTACACTTTCCAGCAAAACTATCAATCACAATCATTGGAGAAAGAAAAACATTCCACAATAAAATGAAATTTAACTAATTTCTATCTACAAATCCAGGTCTATAGAAGGCACCAGAAGGAAAAGTTCAGCCCAAAGATGTTGACTACAAGAATACAAGAAAATAACAATCTCAGAACAGTAAATCATCAAAATCCAAATCACAAACACAAAGTAGCAGGAAATCAACAAATACTGCTCATTGATAACACTCAATATTAATGGTCTCATATCCCCAATAAAAAGACACAGATTAACAGATTAGATTTGAAAACAGGGTCTGCCTTTCTGCTGCTTCCAAGAAACACACTTCATCATGTGGATAGGCATTACCTTGACAGAAGCTGGAATTATCTGTGAAGAGGAATCTCAATTGAGAAAAGGCTTCCATCATTTTGGTTGTAGGCAAGTCTGTAGGGCATTTTTTTTTAAATTAGTGATTGATGTGGGAGAACCCAGCTCACTGTTGGCAGTGTTCATCCCTGGTGTTTCTGGGATGTGTAAGATAGTGAGATGAGCAAGTCATGCAGAGCAGTGCAGTAAACCTTGTCCTCCCCCACAGCCTCTGCTTCAGTTCCTGCCTCCAGGTTCCTGACTGGAGTTCCCTTCATGATGGACTGTGTTGTAGAAGCTTAAGTAAATCCTTTCCTCTTCAAGGTGCCCTTTGTCTTGTGTTTCATCACAGCAAAATAAATCCTTACTAAGACAATAATCATATAAAAATGAGTCATTTCATTGAGCCATCTTCGTGTGTGTGTGTGTGTGTGTGTGTGTGTGTGTATCATATGCTGTTTGCATTTATTCTCTCTAACCCATTTCCTCCCCTCCTCTCCCCATCTCCTTCCTGTTCTCCAATAGTTACTCTACTACTTTTAAATCCATTTTTTATTTTTAAGGTGGGTTTCACCCCACTGTCGCTCAGATTGGTCTCAAACGCCTAAACTCGAGTAATTTTCCAGCTTTGGCTTCCTGAGTAATGGAATTACAAGCCCATGCCAGCAAGTCCAGCTGGAATGTGGGTTTTGTCATGAGAAGAAGCTTGAAAATGTGGAAATAGAAGACTGAAAACCAAACCAAACCCAAAACATGTATTCCTCTGAGAATCTTATCCTTTCTGGACCACTTGTGTTAATATTCTCTTCTAAGGTACCTTGTATGTGGCTGATCATTGCAGATGCCATGCCAGACGGTAATTAGAGTAGAAGACTGTCTTTTTTTCCAAGTTGTGAGTTCATTAAGGTAGCAATTCCATTTTCTGTTTTGTGATTGGTAGGGCTCGTTATAAAAATCAGTGCTTAATGAATATTTATGGAATGACTCAAGGGGAATCTGATATTGAATAACCACCGATACTGAGTACTGATACTGAGTAATCACTGCTGCACAAAGGCATGGGACCTGGGAAGGGACATCTACCATGCTACTAGAATTAGAGGGTAGATCGGGACTATTTTAGGTTGAGTACTAAGGGCCACAGTGGCATCAGTGACTCAAGTAAGTCAGCTTTTTTTTTGTGTGTGGCATGTCTTTCTGTATACTGTGAATATGTGTTGTTCTCCTTGGTAGATAAATAAAGCTGTTTGGCCAATAGCAAGGCAGAATAAGGTTAGGTGGTACATTCAAACTGAAGACAGAGATGAAGAAGGGTGGAGTCAGAGCAGACACCAGTCCATTGGCCAAGGAGCAACATGCCAGTAGACTGGGAACACCCCGGCCACATGGCAATACATAGATTAATAGAAATGGGTTCATTTAAGATGAAAGAACTAGTGAGCAATAAGCCTGAGCCATCGACCAAACAGTTTGTAATTGATATAAGCCTCTTTTTTTTTTAAAAGATTTATTTATTTATTAGGTATACAGCATGTATGACTGCAGGCCAGAAGAGGGCACCAGATCTCATTACAGATGGTTGTGAGCCACCATGTGGTTGCTGGTAATTGAACTTAGGACCTCTGGAAGAGCAGTCAGTGCTCTTAACCTCTGAACCATCTCTCCATCCCCTGATAAAAGCCTCTTTGTGTTTATTTGGGACCAAGATGCTGTGGGACACAGGAAAACTTCTGGCTACATTTGGCACCCAACATGGGGCATGATCCCACGACCCTGAGATTAACAGTCTTGTGCTCTACCAACTGAATTAACTGGTACCATCTTGGTAGCCACATTTTTTTCACATAAGCTCATATAAGAAAAAAGAGGGCTTCTAGACCCACAAAAATGTGAGTCAACTGAAGCTTCTTGGTAGCTGCATTTTTTTTTTCAAATAGGCTCTGTTGCTGGCAGGTAACACATGTGCTGCTCCTTTAAGAGGCGGCTTCCTGGTTCATGCTGGCAGCACTGATGGCTCTTGTAAGAGGTCCTGCTACAGAACACCTCAATGGGGTTTGTGGGCAATGTGTTGCAAGCTGCTTGGTGGTGTCAGGAATCTGCTGCTTCCCAGAGTTGGGGCAGTGAGCATGACTCCCAGAGCTGGCAGTGAATGTACCTCTGCTATGTTGAAAAGCCAAATGGGGCAGGGCCAGCAGCCAAAGCCACACAGATGAACAGTTTAAAAACTCTTCTGGTCAGAAAAGGATTAAAGATACACAATAAAGACAGATTGAAATGGAAAAAAAACCCAAAAACCTCTAAATGGATCACAGTCTGTTTTAAAAAGGTACATAGGTTTGGGAGAGAGAGAAGAGAAAGGATATAGATAGTCATAAAAATAAAATTAAGTCTTTAAAAAAATAAAATTAAGCCTTAAAAAAATAAAATAATTTATAAACGAAATCAGCATGTAAAGATGAAAAATACACAGTGTCTGGATTATGTATATTATTGTGTTTTCTTTGAAGTTTTTGACTGTTAATGTGCTAGCTACAGAGAGATATCTGATTGTGGGGGCTACTAAGTTCAGCCAATGTATATATTTTAAAGGTATTTTGATTTCAAAATTTGGGTTTAAGGATATGTTGCTCTAGAAAAGAAGTTCTGCTGGGCGGTGGTGGCACACGCCTTTAATCCCAGCACTTGGGAGGCAGAGGCAGGTGTATCTCTTTGAGCTCAAGGCCAACCTGGTCTGCAGAGCAAGATCCAGGACAGCCAAGGCTATACGGAGAAACCCTGTCTTGAAAAACCAAAAAAAAAAAAAAACCAAAAAAAAAAAAAAAAAA